TGACTCATAGCAATTCTATGCATACGGATAACATGCAAACACACCACTATATTGTCTGTGCCATGCTCACCATCATTACTAGGCTGAAGCACACCGCAGCAGCCGCTGTGTCAATCCATCTCACAGAAGATCTTTCTCTTTACCATTTACATGCTACCAAGGATAACGTCTTCATATCTCTTAATAACATGCCCAAAGTACAACAGAAGAAGTCTTGCCGTTGTTGTTTCTAAGGACTGTGCTTCAATGATAGGCCTTGTCTGTTCTTTTGGCAGACTAGAATATATGTAATAATCTTCCAGCACTGTAATTCCATGGCATCATTTCTTCCATCTTCCTATACATTGCCTAGCTTTCATGTGCAGTTGTTGTTGTTATTGTTGTTGTGTGCCATTGAGTTGCTTGCGACTCATAGCGACCCTATGTACAACAGCCCTAAACTCTGCTCTGTTTTGTGCCAATCGCACCGTCTCCAATACACTCATTCTGATTACCCCAGTCACTGACTCAATCCACCTCATAGAGGTTTTCCCCTCCTGCGCTGTCCCTCCACCCTACCAAGCATGATGTCTCTCTCCAAGAACCTGTTCCTCCTTACAACATGTCCAAAGTATGTTAGATGGAGCCTCAGAATCCTTGCCTCCAAGGAGCAGCCCGGTTTAACCCTCTCCAGGATTAATCTGTTTGTTTTCCTAGCAGTCCATGGTACCCTCAACACTCTTCTCCAGCACCACAGCTCAAAGGCATCAATTCTCCTTCTATCCTCCAGCAAATAGAATTCATTGGGTCAGGTACACTTTATTCCTTAAAGTGACACCCTTGCTCTTTAGCACTTTAAAGAGGTCCTTTGAAGCAAATTTGCCTGATACATTCCATCCCTTGACTTATTGATTGCTGCCTCCTTGAGAATTGATTGTGGATTCAAACAAAATTAAATCATTGGCAACTTCAGTTGTTTCTCCATTTATCATAAAGTTGTTTATTGGTACAATTGTGAGACCCTTTGTTTTATGTTGAGGTATAATCCATACTGAAGGCTCTAAGTTTTTGATCTTCATCAGAAAATGTTTTAAGTTCTCTTTGCTTTCATCAAAATTGCACCATCTGCATATCACAAGTTATTATATATCTTACTCCAATCTTAATATCACATTCTTTATCATATAGTCCAGCTTCTTGAATTTTTTTGCTTAGCATAGAAATTGAGTATGATGAAAGGCTATCATCCTGAAGAATACTTTTATTGATTTTAAATCATGCAATTTACCCAAGACCAAAATGGAGACAGAAAAGACCATGAAACCTATTCTAGAATGTAAAGAAGCTAAATATAAGGAGAGACATTATTAAGTAAGAGAGCTCAATAGGAGATTTCAAAGGCAAGACAACTTGAGAACACAAAGTAAAAGGATATGATGAAATGTATAAAGAACTGGAACCAGAAAAGCAAAGGAAATAAAAAAATTCAAGCTTCAAATTGCAATGCTGAATGATCCTATGGGTAATCTGTGCTTGCTTTAACTCACTGTTAACAATCTCTGTGTCAATTCATCTCATTGAGATTCTTCTCATTGGTGAAAAACAAGGCCCAAGGAATTGATGTGATATCAATAGAAATGTTTTAACAAATATATGCAGCGTTGAAGGATTCATTCATTTATGCTAAGAATTTGGAGAATAACTACCTGGCCAACTGACTGGAAGAGATCCATATCTGTACCAATTCCAGAGAAACATGCTCTAACAAAATTTAGGAATTCCACAATCAACACTGTTGGAACCAGCAGTGAGGAAATCAAAAGGCAAATTACATTAGGAAAATTTTCTCTCAGGGATCTCTCCAGAGTACTGAGAAGCAATGATGTCAGTCTAGAGACTAAGGTGTGCCTGATCCAGGCCATGATTTTTGCAGTTACTTGCTGTGCATCAGAGAGCTAGACAATGGCCAAGGATGACGTAAGAATTGATGTCTTTGAGTTATGGTGCTGGAGAAGGGTATTGAACATACCATAGACTGCCAAGAAACTAACAGGTATGTCCTAGAAAGGGTGAAATCAGCTGCTCCTTTGAGGCAAGGATTTTGAAGTTCCGTTTCACATGCTTTGTGTGTGTAGCCAGGAGGGACCAATCTTCGGTGAAAGATATCATGCTTGGAAGGGTGGAGGGACAGTGTAGGAGAGAAAGACCCCAGATAAGATGTATTGGCTCACTAACTGGGGTGATAAGGATAGATGTGTCAGAACTAGTGCAATTGCTTCAGGATAGAGTCGAGTTCAGAGCTATTGTGCAAAAGGATGCTATGAATTGCATGGTGACTTGACGACACCTAAGAGCAACAATGTCATTAATATCACAGTGAAGTCATGCTGGTGATAATACAAAAATAGTTGGCACAGGAAATCATTAGAAATTCTAGCTGGATTCAGAAGAGCACTTGAACATTCCTGATGTCAAAGGGCCTTTGCATGAAAGCAGAGAATAATAGTAAAAAAAAAGTATTTATCTGTGTTTTAATGACTATGCGAAGACTTTAGATGGTGTAGATCTTAGCAACTTGTGGAAAACATTGCAAAGAATGGGAATTCCAGAACTCAGACTCAAAAATTTAAACTCAGTAACAGTGGATTCCACCTTTTAGCAACCTTCCATAGGGTTTTGGAGCCTGTACCTCTTTATGCGTGGAGACTGTCCATTATTCTCGCTGGAGTTCCTCGTGGATTTGAACTGTGGGAAAAGCACTGCTTAGAGGCTAATGCTTTGCATTGCAACTTGTTATGGACTGTGCTGCCAGAGTTCCCTCCAAAATTCGTTATCTTTAGATCTGTCATAGTCTATGCTCATGTGTGTGTGTCTGTACTCAGTAGGCTGTAGTAGAGAATGAAAAGAGAGAATACTGAAGGGCCCAAAGGTACGTGGTTCTAATTTACCAGGTGCTCAGTGGGAGACCGTTAGAAAAATATCTTTTCCTGTGATATTATTGTTGGTATGTGTCATCGAGTTGCCTGCAACTCATAGCAACGCTATGTACAATAGCCCTATACCCTATCCTATGTCAGTCTTATTGTCCCTGACACATCTACCCCCATTCCCCCAGTCACTGAATCAATCCATCTCATCGAGGGTCTTCCTCTCTTGTGCTGTGCGCCCACCCTCCTAAGAATGATGTCCCTCTCGAAGGACTGTTATCTCCTTGCAACAGTTCCAAAGTATGCCTTGCCTCAAAGAAGCAGCCTGATTTCACTCTCCAGAATGAACCTGTTTTTTTCTCCCAGCAGACCATGTTATATTCAACACTGTTCTCCAGTACCACAGCTCAAAGGTATCAATTCTCTTTCTATCATCATAGTAATTGTCCAGCTCTCTGATGCATAGCAAGTAATTGCAAAGACAATGACCTAGATCAGGTGCACTTTTGTCTCCAGACTGACATCGTTGTTCTTCAGTACTTTGGAGAAGTCTCTGACAGCAGACTTTCCCAATGCAATTAATCTTTTAATTTTCTGGCTGCTGGTACCAAGAGTGTTGATTGTGGAGTCAAGCAAACAAAAGCTGTTAGCAATCTCAGTCTCTTCACCATCTATCATGATGCTGGCAATTGGTCCAGTGGTGAGAATCTTGGTTTTCTTGATGTTGAGCTTTAATCTATATTGAGGGTTGCAGTCCTTGACCTTCTGCAGCAAGTGCTTCAGGACTTCTTCAGTTTCAGCAAGCAGGGTTGTGTTATCTGCATAACAGAGATGGTTGGTAAGTCTCCTTCCAATTCTGATGTCACATTTCTCTTCATAGAGCCCAGCCTCCCAGATAATCTGTTCTGCATATAGGTTGAAAAGATACGGAGATAAGGACACAGCCCTGGCATATACCCTTCCCAATTTTGACCATGCTGTTGTTGTTGTTATGTGCCGTCGAGTCACCTGCGACTCATAGCGACCCTATGCACAACAGCCCTAAACTCCCCTATTCTGTTCTAACGACTGCCTTCCAGTCCAAATATAGATTTACAGCCATGGAAAGAGCTGCTAGAAGGTCATTTGATTCAGTTCTAACTTGAGGGTGCATAAAAACAAGTTGCTCAGCAGAAGAAAGACAGGAAATCTTTCCTCCTGTAATTTACAACCTTGGAAAACTGGCCAGAGGGTCAGCTATATACATCAGGTCTGACTCCACAGCACTGAGTTTGAAGTTGTTTTTTTAAAATTATTTTTTAAATGGAATTAACACTGACGTTGTTGTTATGTACCCTCGAGTTGCCTACATTAGCTCTGAGCGACTCTTTAGCTTTAAACCTTGCGCTATCCTGAGGCGATCTCATTGTCTTCCACAGACCTAATCTCATTTCTCCAGTCACAGAGCCAAACCATCTCAACCTATGTCTTTTTCTCCTGCGCTGTCCCTACACCATTCCAAAAGTGAAGTCTCTCTCCAAGGACTGATTCCCTCCTGGCCACGTGCCCAAAGTATGTGCAATGGAGCTTCAAAATTTTTGCCTCCAAGGAACAGCCTGGTTTCACCCTCTCCAGGGCAGATCTAATTGTTCTGTTTAACACTCTTCCCCAGCACAACAACTCAAAGGCATCGATCCTTCTTTTATGATCCTTAGATCTTGTCCAGCTCTCTGATGCATAGTATCATGGCCTTGAGAAGACCATGGCCTGTGAACGCTCTTAAAAGAATTTTACTCACATCAAATTGTTTAATACACGTAGTTTCTTTAGTGAATGAATGAACACTTCTGTCCTCACCTCCATTTGACCCGCAACCATGCCACTCTGGGTCTGACACCATCCTTTCCCGCCCTTTCTTCTCCCTTCTGATTGACCCAACACAATTCCGTCTCGCCCCGCCTACTCGTCGCAGCAAGGGCTGAGAGAGAGTCGCACTCCTCTGACGTCACCAATAAGCGCCCTTGCCCATGCTGTCTGCCTGGCTTCCTACTGCTGTGGTTTCTACTTGATGTCCGTCTAGTAGTGGGCTTACATCTGTCGTCTGGACTCTCCGAGATGTCGATGCTGGCCGAACGTGAGTGTTGAGCGCAGAGGTCAACTGGGGCTGGAGGTGACGCGCGTGGCCAGACTGTGTGGCAGGGAGCGCTGTCGCCGGCTCTCAATGGGGCAGCAGCATCAGATGTCTGGGGTTGAAGGTTCCGGGAACCCCACTTTTGCACGCTCTGCGTCGGAGATTTTTTTCCAGTCCCGACATTCCCCTAGTTAGCTCGTGGGGTGCTAGATGAGAAATTTGCGATTGTGGCTCAGCACTGACCTGACACTCGAGTGGTGTTAAAATGAGAAGTGAGGACACGAGGTCTTAGGACTGGTAATGTAAGCACTGGTCGTGGGAATCCAGGCTGATTTCTTTAACTTTTTTGGTTTTGATTTTCTCAGATGAAAATGCAGAGAGAGATTAGCCAGAGGGATCTCTTCAGGTAGTTAAATCCTATTTCCGAAGATACATTGAACTTAAAAATAAAGACATTCCTGGGTAATACAAAAGATTAAAACACTCGGCTGATAATTTAAAAAGACAAGGGGTTTAAAACATCAGACAAGAGTTAGCCTTTTCGGTGGCGCAAGGCTCATGAACAATTCTTAAGTAAGACTGTAGATACTTTTACTTGGTTAATTGAAATTATTAACATGCCTGCATGATAACCCCCATGCTGCTTCAGTTTGCCTTTTCTATTTGCTCAGCTTTTGTTTATATTGAAGTTTATTAATTCTCTTTTGGGAAGTTACCTCTCTGGATGGTACCTGCAACTAAGGTTTCTTACCGCCAGATGGCAGTCCTGCTTTGATTATGAATAACTGGCACATGAGTTTGGGAGATGTTGAGTATGTACCATTTATTTTAAAAGATCAACAACTGCAGAAAGATTCCCCCCCCCCACCACCACAAGACGTATCTCTTTGTTCTTTTGGCAGTTCGTGGGCTATTCAGCACTCTTCTCCAACCCAAAGATGACAGTTCTTTTTCTGTAATCCTTATTCATTGTCCAGCTTTCAAATACATAGCAAGTGATTGAAAAACATCATAGCCTGAATCAGGCACACCTTAGTCTCTAGACCAACATACTGCTTTTCAGCCCTCTGGAGAGGTCCCTGGCAGTAGATTTTCCCAATGCAATTCGTCTTTTGATTCCCTGTCTGCTGATGTTAAGGAGTGTTAATTGTGAAGCCTAGCAAGCTGTAATTGCTAACAACCTCAATCTCTTCTCCATCTGTCATGGTGCTGCCAGTTGGACCAGTGGTAGAATGATTGTCTTCTTGATGTTGAGTTTCAGTCTACAGTCTTTGACCTTCTGCAGCAAGTGTTTCAGGTCTTCTTCAGTTCCAGCAAGCAAGGTTATGTCATCTACATAATATAGGTTGTTGAGTTTTTCTCCAATCTTGATGCCACAATCCTCCTCATAAAGCCCTGCTTCCCAAATAATCTGTTCTGCCTAAAGATTGAAAAGGTATGAGGACAGAATGTATCCTTGATACACTCCTTTCCTGATTTTGAACCATGCAGTGTTTCTTTGCTCTGTTCTGAGGACTGTTTCCTGGTCCAAGTATAGGTTTTGCATAAACATAATCAAGTGTTCTGGAATTTCCATTTTCTTCGAGGTTAGCCACAGTTTGTTGTGGTCCACACAGTCAAACGCCTTTGCATAGTCAGTGAAACACAAACATTCTTCTGGTACTCTCTGCTTTCTGCCAAGATCCATCTGACAGTGGCACTGTCTCTAGTGCCGTGGCTTCTTCTATTTCTGGGTAATCTTCAGCACAATTTTGCTGGTGTGTAGTATTAGTGATATTGTTGTGTAATTTGCATATTCTGTCAGGTCACCTTTTTTTTTTTTTGGAATGGAAATAAATATGAATCTCTTCTAGTCAATTGGCCAAGTAGTTGTCCTCCAGATTTCTTGGCACAACTTGGTGAGCACATCCAGGGTAGCATCTGTTTGTTGAAATATGTCAATTAGTATTCCATCATTCCTTGCCTTTTATGTTTTGCTAAGTCCTTCAGAGCAGCCTGAACTTCCTCCTTTATCACCATTGCCTCTTGCTCATATGTTGTTTTTGAAATTCTTCTGTGTCAGCCAATTTTGATGATTTGATTATAAAATGTTATAACTTCAAATCTCCTGATGTTTCCTATTGAAACAGTGGTGAGAACTTTTTTTCTTGATGATTTTGAGATGTAGTATTTTGCTGTAGTCTTTGATCTTCTTCTGCAGCAAACACCTCAATGTTCCTCACTTATAGCAAGCAAGATAGTGTCAAGGTTGTGTCTTGGTCATAACTCAGGCTGTTGATGAGTTTTCCTCCGATCCTGATGCCATATTCTTTTTTAGAGAGTCCATATTATTGAATGATTTATTCAGGATACAGATTGAATAGTTAACAGAGAGGCTACAAGCTGATGCACACCTTTCCTAATTTTAAACCATGTAGTATTCCCTTCCTCTGTTCAGACAACCTCTTGATTAAGTGTAGATTTTCTCATGAGCAGAATTGAGTGTTCTAGGATTCCCATTCTTCTCAATGTTAGCTATCATTTGTTATGATCCACACTGTCAAATATATGCCTTTACATAGTAAAGCATAAATAGACATTCTTCTGGTATTCTTTATTTTCAGCCAGGATCCATCTGACATCAGCAATGATATCCCCTGTACTAGTCTCTTCTAAACCTAGCCTGAACTTCTGGCAGTTCTTTACGTACTGTTTTAGAATGATCTACAGCAGTATTTTGCTTGCATGTGATGTTAATGATATTGTTTGGTAATTTTCACATTCTGTTGGATCACCGTTGTTGGGAATAAGAACAAATGTGGATATCTTCCAGTTAGGTAGCCCACTAGTTCCCTTCCCAATTTCTTGGCATAGACTGGTGAGCACATCCAGGGCTGCATCTAATTGAAATATGTCAGTGGGTATCCCATTGTTTCCTGGGGCCTTATTTTTTGTCAGTTCCTTCAGTGCAACTTGAACTTCTTCATCACCCTTGGCTCTTGATATATGGTACTTCCCAAAATATTTCAGTGTCTGTTGTTTAGAGGAGAGTTTATTAAAGTTACCCCAGAGGTGTCCTGACAGGAGAACCATTTGCAATTAGATCTCGGATAAGAGGAGACGTCCTGGTAGAGAATGGATATGTATTCACCGTGCCAACAGAAACTCTGCAGATTCAGTACACTTGACCCATATGTACTGCCATCTCTACCACTGTTTCAGTTTATGTTGGGGATCCTCAAGGCCACCCTATGTTCAGTGATTCATTAAGAGGACTCACAGTTGAGAGATATACACTGAAATAATGCCGAGTAAAATCAGTAAAGAAAAAAGGGGAAACCAAATACAAACTTGGATGCCCCTCTTCCAGTGTAGTCACACATATATACTGGTTGCTGGAAAGTCAGTGCTGACTCATAGTGACCCAAGTGGTACAGAGTAGAATGGCTCCATAGAGTTTTCTTTACTGAAGTAAAGTAGCAGGCCTTTCTTCTGTACACATTGCCATCTGAAGTTTGCTGTCCCTAGAACACACCACACCGTTGTTATCTGCCTGATATTATAGTTAAATTTCTCAAACATCCATCTATTTCAAACTCAAACCAGCCTGTAGGTTAGCATCAAGTGCAAACCATTTATGCTGCTGTGGGGCATAAATGCTGAATGTGCTTAATTCTTTCAGAAATGTGTTGTGACAACATGTATAAAATGACACTGGTTACAGAAAGTGTGGAGAGTTTTAATAGGAAATTGATCACATAGGCATGTGATCTGCTTGACATAAGCTAAAATTCTAGGCTTATATGAAAGCAAGTGTTCAACATAGCCAGTGAACCTCTTATTCGTCTGCCTGTGGTGGGAACCCTCCTGAAATCCCAATAAACAGACATCAGTGAAGAGCCAACCTTTTTTTTTTTTTTTTAAATTTAATGAACATTAACAGAGATTTTGGATTTCCATTCATTCATTGTTGCACTTTTCTCCCCGCCCACTGCTTCCCCCAAGTTTGATCCTCTCTTTGAAAAGTAAAAGAAAAATTCCTTCATTGGTATACAATCCACCCCCCAACACCCCTACCCCCACACCCCACCCCGAGTACACTCCTCTATGCAACCTTAATTCTAGACTCTTTTGATAACCATAGTACCCTATCATATATTGCTTTTAAACTGTTCTTTCACTCATCTGTTTCAATGCAGTATACATAATTTATCCAGTTTTTCTCCGTCTTACCCCCGCCCTGATGTCAGTCTCATTCTACGACCGTGGCACTATGCAGTATTTGTCTTTTTGTGACTGAGATATTTCACTCAGCATAATGTCCTCCAGGGTCACCCATTTTGAATAATATTGCATGAGTTCCTTGTTTTTCAATGCAGCATAGTATTCCATTGTGTGAATATACCACAGCTTCTCTATCCATTCGCTTGTTGGTGGGCACTTAGGTTGTTTCCAACTCCTTGCTTTTGTGAACAAAGCCGCAGTAAACATGGATGTGCATTAGAGCCAACTTTTAAAGCGGTGTTTCACAAGTTAACAATCAGACTTACTGTATTAGCTCTTTTCTACATGTCAATATTAAGCATGGTGACATCTGAGCATAGAGCATTCTGTGGATTACAAGTAGTGATGGACATATAAAAGATGATCCAATCTAAACAGAGACAGTCAGTCTAGTTTCCTTGTCAGAATTTCAGATGTGGATTTCTGCAGCATCAGAGCCAGGATATTTTCCAGAGAATTCAGGCTTTGGTGAAAGAAGTTTGGGGAACAGTACTATCCCTCCTCTAAAAAGATATACATATTCACATATTAAAGATAGTGATACATTGTTTTATATACAACACTTATATTTTGTTTAACCCTTTGTCACTTGTTAAATTTAATAAAAATTCCTTCTTCATTTTTAATAACCTTCTTTGGGAAAACTGTTCCAGCTGCATATGGTTGAAGATAGTGTACAATTTCTCTAGGGGAGAGGAACGAACTGACTTTAGATATACAGTATTTTGTGTAAGCCTTATGGTCTTTGTGTATAAGTATATAACCTTAACTGAATGCACTTGTTATTGTAGAGGATAGGTTCAGCATTCTCAAAGTTGTCATCTTTGAAGCCTGCTAGTAAGCACTACTTATAGAAAAAGCAACTCTGGACATACACCAATGTAAAAAAAAATCGCATGTAGACTACTGTTTAACACCTTGCTGCACACTTTTAAATTGACGGCTGTGCTTAGAAACACATTTTGCCGTCATTTGCGGCAATGTGTTAATCAGATTTTATGTCGGTATTATGCAATATAATACATTTTTGTATATTTTCAAATTGAAGGATAAATTGCTAATATAATACTTGTTCATTTTTAGGTCGTCGGAAGCAGAAGTGGGCTATAGATCCAAGAAACACTGCGTGGAGTAATGATGATTCCAAGTTTGGTCAGAAAATGCTGGAGAAGATGGGGTGGTCTAAAGGAAAGGTATTTTTGGGAAAAGCAAAAAAATCCAAGCCATGCAAGTGGACTATAAATTTGGAGGATATATCTTTATAAGGGATGTAGAGGAAGTTATTTTTGAGAAATAACTAGATTTTAGTCCTCTTGTGATGATAACTAGAATTGTATTTAAATGTCAACTTTGTCATTAATCTGCCATGATTAGTATAAGTATCACTCACTTATTGCTTAAATATAGTGCCTAAAATTAGTTGCCTATGCAATCATACTTAACCACTAGTGTTTTTAATATAATGTGTGTTTATTACTAAGTGTAATATTTTCTTCTGGCACTTGGCATTCACTACTCTGTTGTGGCTTGTGTATTACTGTGATGCTGGAAATTATGTCACTGGCATTTCAAATACTAGCAGGTTCACTCAGGGGGATAATCTTTAGTGGAACTTCTAAACAAAGACACACTAAGGAGGAGGACGGTGAACTATCTACTTTTGAAAAATTTGGCTAGTGAAAACCTTATGCGTAGCAGAACATTGACACAGTGAGGAAAGAAAAGCCTCTCAGGTTAGAAAACACTCAAAGCATCTCTGAGGAAGAGCTGTTTCTTAAATAGAGAATTTTCCTTAATTATGTAGATAGAGTGAAGCGTGTAGGACCGTGATATCAAATGATATCCTCAAAATGAAAGGAAACTACTATAAACATATATTAATAATAGTAATAGGAAATGCATAAAATGTAAATCTAAGAAGAGTGAAAATCATTAAAAATGAAATTGAGTGCATAAATGATCTAGGTCTTTCTGTTGTTAGGTGCTACTGAGTTGACTGTATCTCAAGGTGATACTGTGAATAACAGCTCTGAACCCTGCCCTATCCTGTACCATCCTCATCTCTGATGTACTTGAGCCTATTAATGCAGTCACTGTGTTGATCCATTTTGTTGAGGGTTTTCCTATCCTTCACTCACCCTTGACCTTTCTAAGCATGATGTCTATTTCTAAGGACTGACCTCTTCTAACAACATGCCAAAGGATGCGAGATGAAGTTTTATTACCCTTGCCTTTGAGGAGCACTCTGGCTGCACAAAATTTTTCCAAGATGTATTTATTTGTTCATTCTTTTTGCAGTCCATGAGATATTCAGCACTCTTCTTCAACATCACAGCACAGAGTTCTTCTGTCATCCTTAGTCATTATCCAGTTTAGATGCATAGCAAGTAATTGAAAATGCCCATGGCTTAGATTGTTGTTAGGTGCCGTCGAGTCGGTTACAACTCATAGCAACCCTATGAACAAAAGATCTGAACCCTGTTCTGTCCTTCACCATCCTCACTCTTCCTGATACACAAGAGCTTATTGCAACAGTCATTTATCAGTCCACCTGCTTGAGGATCTTCCTCTCCTTCACCAATCCTTCTCCCTTCCCAGCATCATACTCTTGTCCAAGGAATAGCTGCTCATAGCAACATGCCCAAAGTATATGAGCTGAAGCCCCTTCACTCTTGAATGCAACACCATTCTTACTCTGATTTTCATTCTCTGCATAGTATAACACATAATTATCTGATTCAAAGTGGACAAAGCCGGTTCATCTCATCTCACTAATGTCTAGGATATCATCGTGCCTGTGTTCCATTTAATTTTTAACAATTTCCAGTTTTCTAACTTTCAAGCTACATACATTTGATGTTCCAATTATTAAATGATGTTTCTTTTTGTTTTTCCTCATTTCATCTGCCTTCCAATCTGGGCTCTACCACAAAGCTGCTATAACTATTCTCTTCTTTTAGTGTTCCTAGGATTTGGATTAGACACATCTTAGTCTTTAAATGAATAGCTGAGCACTTTAGCACTTTTGAGAGGTCCTTGACCAGATTTTGCCAATGTCAGACAACTTTTGATTTTTTGACTGCTTTTATCAAGGGTGTTGATTGTAGATTGAGGTTAAATGAAATTGTTGACAGTTCAGTGTTTCTATATCTATCATCATGTTGTTGGTCCAGTGGGGAGGAATTTTGTTTTCTTGATGTTGAGATGTGATCCATATTGAAAGTTGTAGTCTTTGATCTTCTGCAGCAAGTGTTTCAAGTCCTCTTCACTTTCAGCAAGCAAGGTTGTGTCATCTTGATAACACAGATTGTGAGGAATCTACCTCCAATCTTGATGCCACATTCTCTTCATATAGTTCCTCTTCTTTAATGATTTGCTCAGCATGTACATTGAATAGGTATGGAAAATGGATACAACTCTAATGCACTTTTCTTCATTTTAAACTATTCTAAAATAGTCTAGTATTGACTGTTTGACTCAGACAAACATTTGGTCTAATGCTGGGAATAACAAGTTGAAAAGGAGTGTTGGTGTGTTCATCATCAAAAAGACCTATCCTAAAGTACAACATTGTCAGTGATAGAATGCATAATATTCATGTCTTTAAGGAAGAGCTCTTCAAAAATCTGCCTTGAGTTTCTGACAGATACTGCCCATATACTGCTCCAGACATTTTTAAGTAATCTTGAGCAAGATTTTATTTGTATGCAATATTAATGATATTGTTAGATAATTTCCACATTAAGCTGAATCACTCTTTTTTAAGAGCGAGAACAAATAATCGAATTTTCCCAGTCAGTTGTCCATGTAACTGGTTTCCAATTTTCTGGACAAGTGAGCACTTCCAGAGTTGCATCTGTTTGCTGAAGCACTTCAGTTCACATTCCATCAATTCCTGTGGTCTTATTTTTTTTCCCCAGTACCATCAGCAGAGAACTGCTGGAAATCAAGGCTGGATTTAGAAGGGGTCATGGTATTAGGGATATTGTAGATGATGTTAGATGGATCTTAGCTGAAAGCAGGGAATACCAGAAGAATGTCTATCTGTGTTTCATTGGTTATGCAAAGGCATTTGTCTGTGTGGATCATAACAAACTATGGCTAACTCTGAGAAGAATGGGAATCCCAGAACACTTGATCGTGCTAATGAGAAACCTATACTTGGACCAAGAGGCAGTCTTCAGAACAGAGCAAGGAAACACGGCATCGTTCAAAATTGGGAAGGGCGTTTGCCAGGGATGTAGCCTGTCTCCATACCTTTTCAACCTGTATGCAGAACAGATTATCCGGGAGGCTGGGCTCTATGAGGAGAAATGTGGGGTCAAGATAGGTGCAAGATCTGTCAACAGTCTGCGATATGCAGATGACACAACCCTGCTTGCTAAAACTGAGGAGGACCTGAAGTGCTTGCTGCAGAGAGTCAAGGACTGCAGCCTCCAATAGGGATTGAGGCTTAATCTCAAGAAGACAAAGATTCATTCTCAC